AACTAATTTCTCTACGATTCGTTCATTAAGAAAAGTCTACTGCTGCAGACTTTTTTCGAAGCAGACATCAAAATAGGATGGTTTTTATAGGCACTTAATATATCATTTGGGCTACTTTCGAGGTGCTTTGGCCTCTCGCAGAGAGTGAGTGACCTGTGCTTCCAGGAAATTTGAATTTTCCATGCTTCCGGTAGTTCAGAGATTTATAGCACAATGCAGTCAGTTCATGTTGTTTTGGCGCATTTTCATATTGTTTTGGCGCCTGTCACTAGAATGCAATATTCTAGCCATGTGCTTCCGTTACAGGTCGATTGGATCCGGTGTTCAAAAGGCGGCGTCTAATTGCAGAAACAATACAACGTCTTGAACGAAAATCGGCAACATCATCGCCTGAAACAGTGGACAGGTGAGAAACTGAAAGGGGGAGGGGTAGGGGAAGAGGGAGGAGAGGGTAGGTATGGGCAATTTTTTTTGAAAATACGATAAACCGAGAGCTGCAAATGAAAAGAAATGTTGCATCTCAGGATTTTTTGGCTGGAAAAAGAAGCAACTCAGGCAGTGGAGGCTTGCTGTAGTATCAAAAATTTTAAAACGTCATGCCGCCACATCATCACTAAACTTCAGTTGAAATCTAACTCCTCTGCCTACATTGTGAATAATATACAGCGCCAGTATTGCACTGCAAATTTCCAGTGCCTCAAGAAATTCGTGCAATGCTACGGAAGCTCGGATTGAAGTATTACCAGCGAACGATCATCGAACAGACGGATTTTTGTCGGATCTTATGAACTGTTCACGCCGAGGCATTTCGCTGATTGGTGGTCAACTGGAAACCGTTCCAGAAGAAACCTCAGGATCAACGCCCACTTTTTAATGGGCCATTCACATTGTCGGTCTAACTTCTCTTGATTTGCTTCATTTTTTTTTAGCTCATCTTTTATTGGCACTATTCCAAGTTCAAACTTTCATATTTTTTCATTTTTTTTTCTTCAATTTTCTTTTTTTTCTATTTTTTTTACCTTCCACCTCTTTATTTGATATTTTTCATTCCTGCACTTCACTTTAACACATTTCATCTCACTTCGGTCGTACACTACTTCCATCTTTCTACCTCACTTTAGCAACCCCTCATCTTCTCACCCTCAGTCTCTGGTACCTCTTACTCTTTCACCCCATTTTAGCACCTCATTCATCTTCTCATTCCCAGTTTACTACCTCCTGCTGCCTCACCTCAGTTTGGTACCTAACTTCTCATTCTAGTTTGGAGTTTGTTACCCCCTCAATCCCTCAGTTTGTCTTATTCCTCAAGAAGGGCGTTGTTCTGTACTGGCGAAATACAGTTACTGTCAGCCGTTCTTCTGCATTATTTGCCGTTGTTTTTTGCCCTTATCACTTTTACTGCTGTTGTTAATGTTGTTGAACTGTTCCGGTTTTTATGAATCATGGAGTTTCCTTATTCAGCTGAAAATTGTTGTAGCCATAAATTCACTCGCAAGATTCAAACTTAATACCATAATGAAATTCAGTGGCATAATTACTTGGAGTTTACTAAATTGGTTTCATAGTTCCGTAATTTTTTGCTCATAATTTGATACTGTAAACATGATTTTTGACGGGATTGTTTTGATTTGTTGACTCTTGCCATCATATTGTTTTTCCCGTTTTATAGAATTTTGCACTTTTTGATGATTTTTTTTTTTTTTGAAATATGTCGTTGTTTAAATCATAAGTGGTTCCTAATATTCTGATTTAAATACTATAGTTCAGTAGCATAATTCTTCAGAATTGACAATTTGATATCACAGCTGCGTAATTTGGTATCATAATTCTTTATTCATAACTTGATTCGTTGTTTAAATTCTTGTTTCTTGTCATCGTAGTGCTTTTTTCTGGTCTTCTGAAAATTACTAATTGTTTTTTAGCTTAAACTGCTGTACATGAAATTATTGTTTTATGCGTGATTTGTTGCAAAAACACTGAGATGTTATGTAAAATAGCAAAAGGTGCCATGGGACTTTGAAAAGGCACTCAACAAAGCAATCATTTTTTACGCATCATAACGACCAAAGTATCATTATAGCTGAATTTCGAAGCAGTGTACATGGATTTTTCGAAATTGGGCAATACTATAACGCACATGGAGCAGTTTATGCATTTTGAAAAAATTTCATGCTTCCTCTTTTATTAAGAACAGCTGGCTTCCAAAAGGAATCTGTTGGGGTTTAGCAACAAGATTTTTTCAACTCGATCCA